GTACTATCAAAATGCATCAATCACCAACGCAAAAAAAGAGACATACAAACAAAGACAAACAGCAACGAGCAACACAACATGGTCCAGATAGCCGGACTTATAACATGTACAACAGTTGAACACAACATGGTACAGATAGCCGGACTTATAACATGTACAACAGTTGAACACAACATGGTCCAGATAGCCGGACTTATAACATGTACAACAGTTGAACACAACATGGTCCAGATAGCCGGACTTATAACATGTACAACAGTTGAACACAACATGGTCCAGATAGCCGGACTTATAACATGTACAACAGTTGAACACAACATGGTCCAGATAGCCGGACTTATAACATGTACAACAGTTGAACACAACATGGTCCAGATAGCCGGACTTATAACATGTACAACAGGTGAACACAACATGGTCTAGATAGCCGGACTTATAACATGTACAACAGTTGAACACAACATGGTCCAGATAGCCGGACTTATAACATGTACAACAGTTGAACACAACATGGTCCAGATAGCCGGACTTATAACATGTACAACAGGTGAACACAACATGGTCCAGATAGCCGGACTTATAACATGTACAACAGGTGAACACAACATGGTCCAGATAGCCGGACTTATAACATGTACAACAGTTGAACACAACATGGTCCAGATAGCCGGACTTATAACATGTACAACAGGTGAACACAACATGGTCCAGATAGCCGGACTTATAACATGTACAACAGGTGAACACAACATGGTCCAGATAGCCGGACTTATAACATGTACAAAAGGTGAACACAACATGGTCTAGATAGCCGGACTTATAACATGTACAACAGTTGAACAAAACATGGTCCAGCTAGCCGGACTTATTACATGTACAACATGTGAACACAACATGGTCCAGATAGCCGGACTTATAACATGTACGGTGAACGCAACATGATCCAGATAGCTGGACTTATAACATGTACAACAGGTGAACACAATATGGTCCAGATAGCCGGCCTTATAACATGTACAACAGGTGAACACAACATAGTCCAGATAGCCGGACTTGGTACATGTACAACAGGTGAAACAACATGGTCCAGATAGCCGGACTTATAACATGTACAACATATGAACACAACATGGTCCAGATAGCCGGACTTATAACATGTACAACATGTGAACACAACATGGTCCAGATAGACGGACTTATTACATGTACAACATGTGAACACAACATAGTCCAGATAGCCGGACTTATAACATGTACAACAGGTGAAATTGTTTTCTAAGAACAAGTTAACATTTTCTTTCGTATAAATTATCGTCAGAGGCAATTCTTTTATGACAAATGTTTATGTGTTGAACGCATACTTCAAAACACAAAAATGTCGTCATTCGCCTCAAAATCTAACCAAAATTTTAAACTGACTCATTCACAAGAATTCACAAATCATCATTGTTGCCAGAAGAAGAATCTTAATGAAAGATATCATGATAACAAGTAAAAGAAAAGCAGATAGATATGTAGATGATTGGTTAGTATATGCTTACATTACGGTAAAGGATATCTGGAGGATGCAGTATGATTGGTTAGTATATGCTTACATTACGATAAAGGATATCTGGAGGATGCAGTATGATTGGTTAGTATATGCTTACATTACGGCAAAGGGTATCTGGAGGATGCAGTATGATTGGTTAGTATATGCTTACATTACGGTAAAGGGTATCTGGAGGATGCAGTATGACTGGTTAGTATATGCTTACATTACGGTAAAGGGTATCTGTAGGATGCAGTATGATTGGTTTAGTATATGCTTACATTACGGTAAAGGGTATCTGGAGAATGCAGTATGATTGGTTAGTATATGCTTACATTACGGCAAAGGGTATCTGGAGGATGCAGTATGATTGGTTAGTATATGCTTACATTACGGTTAAGGGTATCTGGAGGATGATTGGTTAGATGCCTTGTCGTTTAATTTATTTGCTTGTGAGAAACTATGCCTTTTGCATGTTACAATGTGACTGTTGCACTTTTTTGTCCTTTTTGGCTTATAGCTCTTCATCTTTAATAAGCTTTGGATTTTCAAATATTTTGACCTCGAGCATCACTGACGAGACATTGATTGTCGAAATGCGCATCTGGTGCAAAAAAAAATGGTACCGTTTATGTTATTACTACCACTGGGTCGATGCCTCTGCTGGTGGACCAATAGTCCCCGAGGGTATCACCAGCCCAGTAGCCAGTACTTTGGTACTGGCATGAAAATACGGATTTTGTGTTATTGAAATTTCCTGTTACAAAATGTTTGAAATTATTTTAAATTAAGGAATGTATCTCCCTCATGCAAAGCTCTGATTCCCTGCCCGGCTTTGGCTATACTTTTTTATCCTTTTGGCTTATAGCTCTTCATCTTTTTTAAAAGCTTTGGATTTTCAAATGTTTTGACCTCGAGCATCACTGAAGAGACATTGATTGTCGAAATGCGCATCTGGTGCCAAAAAAATTGGTACCGTTTATGTTATTGCATGTAAGATATCATACCTGTCGTATTTGAGAGTCTACTGCATGGGAGATATGCCTATCGTATTTGAGAGTCTACTGCATGGGATATAGCATGCCTGTTGTATGTGAGAGTCTACTGCATGGGAGATAGCATGCTTGTTGTATGCGAGAGTCTACTGCAATGGAGATAGCATGCCTGTTGTATGTGAGAGTCTACTGCATGGGAGATAGCATGAATGTTGTATGTGAGAGTCTACTGCATGGGAGATAGCATGCTTGTTGTATGCGAGAGTCTACTGCAATAGAGATAGCATGCCTGTTGTATGTGAGACTCTACTGCATGGGAGATAGCATGCCTGTTGTATGTGAGAGTCTACTGCATGGGAGATATCATGCCTATTGTATTTGAGAGTCTACTGCATGGGAGATAGCATGCCTATTGTATGTGAGAGTCTACTGCATGGGAGATATCATGCTTGTTGTACATGTATGTAACGCATGTAAGATATCATACATATTGTATGTGTCGCATGTAAGATATCATACCTGTTGTATTTTTCGCATGTAAGTTATCATAGATATAAGAAGATGTGGTATGAGTGCCAATGAGACAACCCTCCATACAAGTCAAAATTTATAACTGTTATATGTGAGAGTCTACTGCATGGGAGATATCATGCCTGTTGTATGTGAGAGTCTACTGCATGGGAGATATTATGCTTGTAGCAAGTTAGATACCATGTATTTAGCTTGTCAGATAGACGTGCACTTTGGTAATCAATAAACATGTTTCAGTTGCAGACTTTTTTTTTCTTGGTTTGTATGTCTTTCTTATCGGATCAGTTGGTCTTCGGATATTGGTGTAGTCTGTTGTACCGTACAACTTCTGGTTATCCTTCAAATTAACTTAGAGAATGCGTAATTAATACATCCCACAGAACCAAGCGGACACCCTCATGTAGCATGGTTTTACAGTCGGATAGCTCGGGTCGTGTATTCTTTAATATTTAGAATCAACAAAATTACATTCTTGCATTTGATAAACAGAAAATATCCAAGTCTCTATGTCTAGTTCCCGGGTTTCCTTATCTATTGTTGTCCATACTTGATTTTCCCTTACAGATTTCTCTTACGTTTTCTTTCCCTTATACAAGAAAAGATAGCGGAAAAAATCCACCAATGCAGAACAAAACAACAAGAAACACCACATCACTAACCTTAATTCAAAGCAATTAAAAAAGAAACAAAGAAAAAAATGATTAAAAGCATTTCCCCAAAAAATTAATAACTCCAAAACCTATCTAGAATCGAGGCGAATGTCCATCTATTTAGGCCGTATGTAGATTTTTTTGTGTTGTTGAGTTACTGTCTTATTGACGTTTATCCCACATCTCTTTTTATTCATTTTAATTGTTTGGAAAATCAGAATCAAACACAGACTATAGAGAATCGCATGAACGACGTATATTCATGGTCTTAAAAGTGCAAGAGTAGTATATGAAACAAATGAATTAATGGAGCAATTGCAAGTGTTTTAGACCCTTATAGAATTATTCAAAAACATAGACTCATCATCTCCTGTCATTTATTTCATTACTTTATGCTTTCAAATCTTTTTTCTTAAATTTATTCCTCTGTTTTTCTTTCTTGTAAACATGTGATATACTTTAGACAACATGCCTAGTATGAAAATATTAAATAACCAAAAAGAAAAGAGGTAAATTCTGTTTGTTTCCGTTTTCCGTTTCCGTTCCGTATTCCGTTTCCGCCGTTTAGCAACACCCAATTTAAAGGTGTATCGGGTGTCTTTCGCCATCTTGAATTGTAAAATAGCACGAAACATTAATGAAATAGGCAAAATTCGAGAGAAGAATGTAATTCATTTGTAAAACTGTTCAACTGAATGAAGAAAATTATGTGTTTTATAATATTTTTACGACTGTCTCTTACATATACCGAAAATATTTTGTTTGATTCAATTTTTTTCAACTTTGCCGTTTAAGGGGAGATAACTCAGGTAAAGCTATTTTTAAAAAAGGAATTTGCTATGTATTTACATATTTTGTTTTGTAGCAAGAAAACGAGTTTACTTTATATTTTCTGAAAGAACAATACACGAGCTACTTTCTCATATATCTTTAAATTCTATAGTTTAGTTTTCTTTTTATCACACAAAATAGGAGTTTCAATGCATAATCTATAGAAAATCCGACAATGTTGCACTACCTTAACACACAGAGAGCTATATAGTCAGTGTAGGAATTTTCTTAATTTTGTTCTGAAAGTTTTGGATGGATGGATGAATGACTGTTTAACGTTCTGTGGCCAACAAATACTATAGTTTATTTGAAATCAAAAGTTAAATCACAAAAACACTGAACTCCGAGGAAAATTCAAAACGGAAAGTCCCCAATCAAATGGCAAAATCAACAGTGAATATATCATTATAGATAAAGTTGATGATCGAATAAACTGAGAAGATAATACAAAAAACCACAACATTTCATAATTGTCTTTGTACATGAAGCTTTACTATCTAGACAGAATACAAACTCCATTTTTTTTATCATTCAATGAAATTTGCAAAAATAGAAATGCTTCCTATGGTTAGAGTTGCTAAGAACACAGTCAGCCCTACTCTGTCGATACAGATTGATAACATCTCCCATTCTTTAGTGTTGTCTAGAACTTCAACCGAGTAGTCATCTTCTGTTCTATCCCCGGGTTGTGTCTGGAAATAAAGGGATAAGTTAATCATTATAATATGTGCGATTGAATTTCCTGGTTATATTTTCAAGAAATAAAACGTTTAAATACATTGAAAACAAGCAAATTAGCAAAAACTACATAGAACTGAATGAGTAAATAAATAATATTCGATTAGTAAATTATCTTATTTGTACTTGATGCACTTCTTTTCGTTATAGTGTCATTCAGATTAACAGATCAGTAATGAGATTCGTTTAAATAGAGGCATTCAGATTAACAGATCAGTAATGAAATTCGTTTAAATAGAGGCATTCAGATTAACAGATCAGTAATGAAATTCGTTTAAATAGAGGCATTCAGATTAACAGATCAGTAATGAAATTCGTTTAAATAGAGGCATTCAGATTAACAGATCAGTAATGAAATTCGTTTAAATAGAGGCATTCATTTACTCTGCTTGAATTAAATGTCTCACACAGGCTGTGCAAAGTTTGTAAAATTTTAGATGATGAGGAACACTTTTTCCTTCATTGCCAAATTAACAGTAATGTAAGACATTCCCTTATAAATGCAATTAAAACCCATTATCCTAATTTTAACCAGCTTGACTCAAACTCTAAACTTAAAACTATTCTAGATCCCATTAAAGATATTTTGTCTAGTGTTGTAGACTATATAAAGCAATCTATGGAATTGCGAAAATAGGGTCCACATTGGTCAATTATTATATATATATACATATATATATATTATTATTAATATCAACTTGACTTGTTTTAAACATTTATCATGTATTATGTTTCTTGCCACTTGTGTATACAATGTACTATGTTTGCATTTTAACCCGCCAGGGTTTCATGTTTTGCAATAAAGTTATTAATTACTAATTGATACACTGTGTGTCAACAGTATCTAACCAGGAAGCATATTAGTCATATAAACTGGAACTAATTGCATTGGTTTAAATAAGATTTCACTCGAACGTTTCCAGAAAGATTACATTTTTGAAATGTTAAAGGTTAGCCGACGACACGTTAAATAAATTTTAATTTTGAATTGGTTTTTTATTACTATTTTCTGGAAAGAGTGTCTTCAAACCTATACACTGTCAAATGCATAACCTAAGAAAGCTATATTTTATAGAATTTAATCAGTTACATTACCTTGAATGGCTAAAAACTCACCCTTTTATTCATCCAGAGTGCCTCAGTTAGTGTTATCTTAGATAAAGGATTTAAAATCACTCTTTTCACCCAATGTGACATTTCCTGTCACCACGGTGGTAGATGTTAATAACAATTACTTGGACAAACGCGGAAAGACCACACAATATAAGGGTAAGGCTGAAGAAGTCTCATACAAATAGATATTAGATCTTGACTGAAGTTACTATTGCTGATTTGATAAACAGGAGATAGGGACAAAAACATTACTTACCAATATTTCAATAACCGATAAAATGCTTAAATAGAATGGAACAGTTTATAAAAAAAATGTTTAAGCCACATTTCAATGTTTAAGCCACATTTCAATGTATGACAGTATATATAATATTTGATTGTTTTATTTTATTTGACTTGTCAATATAAATTTTCCCTAGAGTTTTGATTACTCCAATTATTTCCATGTAGAAGTCTACATATTTTAACTCCACGTTAATATTGACAGATTCATACATTCTTGCGATATTAAGCAGAAGAAAAGACCTTTTTACAGTGGATAGACACTTCATCATTGTAAAAAACAATTGAATGTGTTCTTGATAAATATGGACATATTCTTTGATGATTGCATCCGTTTTTCTGTTTATGTAGTGACTAATTATATAGCTCTTTCCTCGATTGTCTTTTAGTACTGCTTTTACCCAAGGAACACAATGAAGTCGGCATTTAATATCGTACTGCACTAAAAAGGGGTACTTTATTATATTCCTTTATCCATTTGTTCAATATAAGGAAATTTGTATTGGTTTTTTTTTCAAATTATCAAAGTTATCTCATCGAATAATGCCACGAAATCCCCAAATTAACGTTAATTGTATCAATTATTCATACTTAAAGCTAGTACAAACCTATCCATGGTCGAGCTTCATCTGACGGTGGTAGTTTGTCAGCGATTAGTAGTTGAAACACTGTCAATGAAAGTAATACTGTCACCTCAAGGGACACTTTTTCACCAGAATCTACCGGAAGTATAAACCCAAGAGCAGCCAATAAAGTGATGATCATAGACGGCAAGATAATGTTAGTTTTATAATATCTTGGTTTCCTTTTCAGATAGAGGTTGTATGTTAAATCAATGTATGGGTCTGGACAGCAGGCGTAATATTTTATGTGTTTAACAGCAGGCACACCAGTAACATCCCATTCTACATTTTGTTTCAGTTCCGATAGATCGGCATGATCACTTTGAAGGTTCATGTCCAGCTGTTTTCCTGTGTAGATCCATGATCCAAACTGTAATGGACACGTTTGTTGATCGAAAGGAAACTTTGTGACGTCGACTTGGCATTGTACTTCCATAACAGTTGGAAAATTGTACTGGACAGTTCCATCAAAACTTATAATTGCCCTGAATTTGTCCAATCCCCAAAATTCTGTTGATACACTGAATGAAAAGAAACACTATTAGACATTTTAGTCTTAGATACATGATTTTTGTTTATTAGTTGTTATTGGCTTTGAACTAATTGTCAATAACTGCGAGTACTCTCAGATATGTACTTTGTGTCTTTTTTGTTGTTAGGGATGTATATATATATCTTGCAACGTCCGTTCTATGTTTTTGTTAGATGTTTTTCTGCTTTGTATCGATCTGATGAGTTAAGCCCTTTTCAACTGATTTTTATGATAGTTTGTTCTAAAGTTGTGTTGTAAGACCACTGTCCCAGGTTAGGGTAGGGTTTAGCGCTCACAAACATGTTTAACCCCGCAAAATTCTTTATGTGCCTGTCCCAAGTCAGGAGTCTCTAGTTCATTGGTTGTCGTTGGTTTATGTCTGTCATATTTTTTTTTTTGTAAATTGTTTTGTTACAAATTAGGCCGTGAGTTTTCTCAATTGAATGTTTTCATATTTTTCATACGGGGCCTTTTATAGCCGACTATACGGTATAGGGTTTTCTCATTGTTGAAGGTATGATCAATCAATTACAGAATCATTGATATCAAAATATCAATCTCAATTTAAAATTTCTTCAGTAAATCTTAAATCAAAGATTTATAGTTCTACGACACGAATTGAATCTCTGATCATGCATTGCAATGAAATTCCCAACAAGGTAAGATATTTTAGAATATGTGATCAGCATTCAAGTGTTTAACTATATTACAAATGTAATCCTCATCAGGGTACCAGTTTCTCCGCCTGTGGGATACAACTCCTACACATGTCACATTCGTTTGATTGTGTAGAAATGTAATCCTCATCAGGGTACCAGTTTCTCCGCCCGTAGAATACAACTCTTACACATGTCACATTCGTTTGGTTGTTTAGAAATGTAATCCTCATCAGTGTACCAGTTTATCTGCCTGTGGGATACAACTCCTACACATGTCACATTCGTTTGGTTGTTTAGAAATGTAATCCTCATCAGGGTACCAGTTTCTCCGCCCGTGGAATACAACTCTTACACATGTCACATTCGTTTGGTTGTTTAGAAATGTAATCCTCATCAGGTACCAGTTTCTCCGCCCGTGGAATACAACTCCTACACATGTCACATTCGTTTGGTTGTGTAAAAATGTAATCCTCATCAGGGTACCAGGTTCTCCGCCCGTGGAATACAACTCCTACACATGTCACACATTCGTTTGATTGTGTAGAAATATAATCCTCATCAGGGTTCCAGTTTCCCCACCTGTGGGATACGACTTCTACATATATGTTTCATTCGTTTGGTTGTTTAGAAATGCGATAGCCTCTTTAAGTTGTGTATTATTTTTAATTGTAAAATAAAGATGTATAATTATGTAAATATGAAATAAAACTACAAAACATAAGGTCTTTTCTAAATTTTGATTACATTGAAATGTTTCCATACATTATTGACGTATTGATGAATATTCGTGGTTATTTGAATTTCTAGTAATCTGATTGGTTGGTTTAAAGTTTTAGCGCTGAACGATGACATCTCTGTTTGGAAGAATCTTGATGGTCTCTACTTCAGCTGATTTAACAAGTCTCAATCTATTTGATCTCTTCTGTAATTCCTTCTCTCTTAATAACAAACATCGAAAGGTAAGGTACCAGTCGGTGTTTAGGAACCTTCAACCAAAACGCAACTTGACATCTTTCATGACTTCCTTTAAGATGTTAGTACCTAACAGAAGCGGAATCCTTCTGTTGTAATTGCTGTCCGGTACAACCAAAAATAAACAAAGATGAGAACTTCCAGTTGTTGCTGTTCCTGGTAATTCAATAGTTGCTGTGATATATCCTGAACCATTATGATAGCAAAGCGACTTGAGTTTTGTATGAAGCCCAAAAGTCAGCTATAACAGAATTTATAAAAAAAAATCTACAACTGCATCAAGCGTTATAGGATATTTCTCCACTCGAGACAGATAAACCGGCGGGACGAGTATAAAACGTGTAAGGATTACAGAAAGACGCATTCACATCCGGTCGGAATGGGGGCGTTTAACCAATGCCACAAGTAGGGAAAGTGCCATGCTCTTTGCACGATACAGAAAGAAACTTTGGAGGAATTTTTCAATGTAAAATTTCTGCTCTTAATTTCCTACGTAATTCCAAATTTCTTTCCCTTTATTCCGGTCAACTTTTCTCGCATAGCTTACCTCTTTGATTTGTTCTTGTCCTGCATATGGATAAAATATTTCTTTTTCCGTTATTGAAACAACGATTTGCCTATTAAATTAAATCTCTGATTAATAATAGATTCAAACAACAACACATATTTGCCATATGATAATTAATTACCTATCGAACAAAGTTAAGTCGGGTGTCCAAATATTTTTAAACGGCACTACCACATTTGATACATTATGATAATCATTTGGATTCCACTTCAGTAAACAATCTGTCCAAAGCTGAAATACAAGAACATATCAACTTATAACTACCATTGGTTTATGCAAATTGTATGTTGATAAAGCTTTTACAACGTTACTTAAGAAGAGACGTACAATGTGATCATTGAAATCTGTCAGTCCTTTGCTGTTATATTCATTTACCAGAAAGAATATGTGGTCGAAGAACTTTTATTTCATCAAGTAATTTTTAGCAACAGCAGTCCTATCACTTTACAAGACCTACATTTAGTGGCCTTGGGCTGTTTTCTGCTCTTTGGTCGGGTTGTTGTCTCTTTGACGCATTCTCACTTTATTTTATTACAGTATAAACAGTACTTAACCTGTATCTAAAATTTGAATTCATTTTTATGTTTTTGTGAGATTTCTTTGCCACATAAATTTTAGCCCGATACTGCGTTCTTCAATGCTTAGGCGTGATCGACATCGTACACAAAAATTCACCCAATCAAGAGATAAGGTGTTAAACTAGCAGTCAGTTGACATTTTTTGCTCCATGTTGAAAGTTTACTGTAACTTTGAGAACAGAAACAAAAGAGCTGTTCCTTTACTCTTTTGTCTTTTCGTGTATACGTAGTGACTTTGAGTCGTAATAAAGTCTATCCTTGCTTAGTTGAAGCACCATACTGAACTTACCAGCCGTATCCAGAGCTTGAGCTTAATGATTTGTTGTGGCTCATTCTGTAAATAAATCACATAAATTAAACGTGTTTTTCTCTCTCTTTTTTTGTGAATTAGTTGTTCATAACTTTCTAAGAGTTGTGTTTTTGATCTCCTTTATTCTTTTTTGTTCTGTTTGAAATAATGAAAATTCGTTTTTCATATTTATTTATTTTAGTTACCGTGACCCTTCCGTTGTTAAATATTTTACAATGTATGTCCAGTGTGTACTTTTTTCGATCATATTCAGAACTAAAACATATTTTTCCGATCTAAAATATTGCCTTAATTTAAGAATATTACAGCAATATCATAAAGAATGGAATGCCGCTGTGAAGTTGTTTAGATTTAGCTTAAATGATATTAACTTAACTATATGTCATGGATGGATACCCCATATCCTTTGTTTTTCTATTATATATCACCATATGCATTTTTTCGATTACATTTTCACTTTTGATAGGATATGTTATTCAATTACATATTCAGGCAGATATCTTCAAAACAGGTGTGGATAAATACTAAAGATACGTAAAGGGAGCTTGATCAGACAGACAAATACTAAAGATACATAAAGGGAGCTTGATCGGACAGATAAATACTCAATATACATAAAGGGAGCTTGATCGGACAGATAAATACTAAAAATACATAAAGGGAGCTTGATCGGACAGATAAATACTAAAGATACATAAAGGGAGCTTGATCGGACAGATAAATACTAAAGATACATAAAGGGAGCTTGATCGGTCAGATAAATACTAAAAGATACATAAAGGGAGCTTGATCGGACAGATAAATACTAAAAATACATAAAGGGAGCTTGATCGGACAGATAAATACTAAAAATACATAAAGGGAGCTTGATCGGACAGATAAATATTAAAAATGCATAAAGGGAGCTTGATCGGACAGATAAATACTAAAAATACATAAAGGGAGCTTGATCGGACAGATAAATACAAAAGATACATAAAGGGAGCTTGATCGGACAGATACATACTAAAGATACATAAAGGGAGCTTGATCGGACAGATACATACTAAAGATACATAAAGGGAGCTTGATCGGACAGATAAATACTAAAGATACATAAAGGGAGCTTCATCGGACAGATACATACTAAAGATACATAAAGGGAGCTTGATCGGACAGATACATACTAAAGATACATAAAGGGAGCTTGATCGGACAGATACATACTAAAGATACATAAAGGGAGCTTGATCGGACAGATACATACTAAAGATACATAAAGGGAGCTTGATCGGATAGATAAATACTAAAAATACATAAAGGGAGCTTGATCGGATAGACAAATACTAAAAATACGTAAAGGGAGCTTGATCTGACAGATAAATACTAAAAATACATAAAGGGAGCTTGATCGGATAGACAAATACTAAAGATACATAAAGGGAGCTTGATCGGACAGATAAATACTAACAATACATAAAGGGAGCTTGATCGGACAGATAAATACTAACAATACATAAAGGGAGCTTGATCGGATAGACAAATACTAAAAATACGTAAAGGGAGCTTGATCTGACAGATAAATACTAAAAATACATAAAGGGATCTTGATCGGATAGACAAATACTAAAGATACATAAAGGGAGCTTGATCGGACAGATAAATACTAAAAATATATAAAGGGAGCTTGATCAGACAGACAAATACTAAAGATACATAAAGGGAGCTTGATCGGACAGATAAATACTAAAGATATATAAAGGGAGCTTGATCGGACAGATACATACTAAAGATACATAAAGGGAGCTTGATCGGACAGATACATACTAAAGATACATAAAGGGAGCTTGATCGGATAAACAAATACTAAAAATACATAAAGGGAGCTTGATCGGACAGATAAATACTAGATATATAAAGGGAGCTTGATCGGACAGATACATACTAAAGATACATAAAGGGAGCTTGATCGGACAGATACATACTAAAGATACATAAAGAGAGCTTGATCGGACAGATAAATACTAAAAATATATAAAGGGAGCTTGATCGGATAGACAAAGGACAGATAAATACTAAAGATACATAAAGGGAGCTTGATCGGAAAGATAAATACTAAAAATACATAAAGTAAGCTTGATCGGACAGATAAATACTAAAGATACATAAAGGGAGCTTGGTCGGACAGATAAATACTAAAAATACATAAAGGGAGCTTGATCGGACAGATAAATACTAAAAAATATATAAAGGGAGCTTGATCGGATAAACAAATACTAAAAATACACAAAGGGAGCTTGATCGGACAGATAAATACTAAAACACATAAAGGGAGCTTGATCGAATAGACAAATACTAAAAATACATAAAGGGAACTTGATCGGACAGATAAATACAAAAGATACATAAAGGGAGCTTGATCGGACAGATAAATACTAAAGATACATAAAGGGAGCTTGATCGGACAGATAAATACTAAAGATACATAAAGGGAGCTTGATCGGACAGATAAATACTAAAGATATATAAAGGGAGCTTGATCGGACAGATAAATACCGTGCGAGGGCTGTATAGCCAGTCAAGGTCGTTAAAAACTCCCATCATCATCAGATAAATACTAAAGATACGTAAAGGGAGCTTGATCGGACAGATAAATACTAAAGATACATAAAGGGAACTTGATCGGACAGATAAATACTAAAGATACATAAAGGGAGCTTGATCGGACAGATAAATACTAAAGATACACAAAGGGAGCTTGATCGGACAGATAAATACTAAAAATACATAAAGAGAGCTTGATCGGATAGACAAATACTAAAAATACATAAAAGGAGCTTGATCGGATAGACAAATACTAAAAATACACAAAGGGAGCTTGATCGGACAGATAAATACTTAAAATATATAAAGGGAGCTTGATCGGATAGACAAATACTTAAAACACATAAAGGGAGCGGACAGACAATCTTCTAAAGTTTTACTTACCAAGTCAATTAACTCTCTTAAACCCAAGTCCAAAGACACGTTTACTTGCTCATATCCCCTACAGATAGGTCTTACTGACGGGTCATAGCCAGCAAATATCGATGTAATGAGGGCGTTAAGTATTGATTCAGTACTTAACGCTAGTCCTTATAAAAGAAAAAAGGAAATAACTATATAGAAAAAAAGCACAAATAAAATTTACAGACGTTCTGTATTTGTACGAAAAAGGGAAAACATTTACTATAAACTCAAAGGTATATGAAAAATCAATATTCAATGTACTAGCCACTTCGGGAAACTTTATTCAAATGCTCATCATTTGAATAATTGGCGATTATTTGTCTTAGCTCTGAACTGGTATATACAGTTTGCAAAGGGAATGAGTTTATATTAGCTCAGTATTAAATTCTTCGGTACTGACATGATTTAACAAACCTTTACTAAAATTGTCCGTTTATGAATTTTGAAATTATAAAGACACTAACTTAAAGGTTTCAAATCCCTCAGGCAAAGTTGACACTAGCTTAAAGGTATCAACTCCCTCAGGCTGACCTTATATGGATTTGGTTATTTTTTTGGTCCTTTTTTTTGTCATATAGCTCAACTATTTCAGTTCCAATACATCCTTGGTTTTCAAATATTAGGCTTCGAGCGTTCCTGGTGAAGATAAATCAAGAAAAGCGCTTCGGACGCACGAAATTTATAGCGTGTTGATTTCATTTTGTATGATCCACCATGAGGTTTTAAGAAGCATCAGCCCTCCCTCTTGTATGACATTCACTTTTGTTTCCAATTTATCCACCTCTCATGTGCATAATTCAATTATCCGCTTATGATTTTGAACTTTACTAAGCCTTCAAAATTTTATGTGAACGTAAACTCATACAACTATAAAAACAGAAATATAATCGAAAAACTCTAAAAATAACATGTGTTCTTTTACGTGCAAAGATAATACTCACCCAGATTACCTTATGTTAGATATAATTGCCAAAACCTTTCGGAATTGTATGTTATCAATGCTCTTCAACTTCGTAGCTTAGTTGGCCTTTCAACTTTTATGCTCACCTGGTCCGAAGGTTCGGTGTGAGCTTTTGTCATCATTTGGCGTCCGTCGTCTGTCGTCGTCATCGTCCGTTAACTTTTACAAAGATCATCTCCTCTGAAACTACTTCACCAAATTTAACCAAACTTGGCCACAATCATCAATAGGGTATCTACTAGATTAAAAATTGTGTCCAAAGACCCCCTTTTTTTTTGCCGACAAACATGGCCGACATTGCTAAAAATAAGACATAGGGGTAAAATGCAATATTTGACTATTATCTTTAAAACCGTTATATCTACCCTATGTCTGTTAACGTCAAAACTGTTCTTCAACGAAATTTTACGAATTTTTGTATATATTGATAATGAAAATAAAAATATCAAAAGTATCTTTTTAATAAAACATTTTAAACATAAACTAAATGATCACCATAAAAAAGAACACTTACCAAAAATTGAAACAAAAATACTGATGTATATCACTCGTTTCATCATGCCAAATCCGAAAAAGACTTGTTGAAGAAACGCCGTTGGTTTTTGAAAAATATAGAATTGTGTGAAACGGAAGAATATCATATCAGGAAATCCGACAATCATCATTTTCCCACATAATTCTCTTAAGTGTAGATGCATATTTTCCTACATAATTCATTTTAGTGTAGATGCATATTTACAATGATCGTTCTATATAAATCTTATAAATTTCATTTACTTTAAAATATATTACAAATAGTCAACAGGAAATATAAATGGGATTCTAAAGATGGGGATCAGATTTAACACAGATCATTAAAATTTATACATTCGCTCTTACAAATAGTTAGTAATGTAAAACACTGTCATGTTTTGAAATTGTAGTGTGTAATTCCAATATGGTAACTGATTGACAGTTTCTCTTCTATGAGTTTTAAGAAGAAAACGAAATGAGAAATTTGTTCTTTGTTATAGTTTGTTTACTTTTAACTTTACATTCATTCATTTTCATTTTTGGTTTATTGAAAATGTTTGGGAATATTAAATTTCATCGAAATTACAGGTATTCTAAAGTCCTTTCTTCTAACCCGAATTAACACTAAACCATTATGTCATAATATAGTTAAGTTCAACACCAAATTGTACATGTGAATATATTTCTTACTAAGTGCATACAAGTTTTGTTCTTATTACTAAATCATTAAATTTTTTTAGTCCGATATTATTGTACGCCTTCTTAAAATCTATATTTGTTAGAACACATCTGCGACATGTCGCGGGTCAATGACTGAATTGAATTAGAACGTCTATTTTAACGTATCGTCAACTGATGCAGTCACACAGTGAATTAGGTGGCAATTTTTCGCTGCTTGCGATGACTTTCTGTCTAAACCTGTCCTTTTGTCGTTACTTCGTTCTTACAATCGGATTTTTACCAGAAACAGCTAGGGGTTGTCAGAACAGGGTAGAACTCGCTTGTCCTTCTGGAGAACTCGCTTGTCCTTCTGGAGAACTCATCGTTTATGTTTTCCTACTTATTTTCCAACTATCCCATCATGAATAGTCGATAGGGAGGATAACACACTACAGTTTGCATACTCCATTTGGGATAGAGAGCCATGTTGATTGATTTGATCTTGTAGAAGGAGCAGCAACACTCAAAACAGGACTCCTCATTAAGTATTATAGATAAAAGCAGTTGACAACTTTTCTCGTTTAAATATTTGAAAACTGTGCACTTAAATGAAACCATTTTGTTCATCATAGATTATCTCTCTTTGTTCTATCCAATACCTATTTTCCTATATATTCGATCGAGAAGTGCAATATGTAAAATCAGACTCCGTGTCCTATGATCTCAAAATATAGAAAGAGACAGGTATAAAACTTTATATATAGAAAGATATCAGAGGCTTTGTAAGAAATGTACCCTTAATATGGTGTTGAAGATGAACAACATTTTATTACTAGTTGTCCAGCATACAAAGATGATAGGGAGATAATTTTCAAGGAGATAAACAATTTTTGTCATAACTTTTCAGATCTCTCAAATGAGGCAAACTTTGTTTGGTTATTTACTAATGAAAATGTCTGTCCTAAAACATTTGGGGAATTATGGTATTAAATGTCTAGATGTTAGACGAAACGTAAATTAATATACGTAATAACGATGATTATTGTAATTATTCTATGGTTTTGGTCCTGCCTGGAATAAAATATATAAATGATTTATATGAGACGACAAAATATATATGTATATCTATAACTATATGAACATTTTGTTCTTTTTTTTTTAACTTCATCATAGTGAATCGTTTTGTGTGTATAAATGTCATACTGTCCATCAAGGGTCCTTAATTGGAACAATAAATATTCTTATACTTATATTAGCTACCCAAATTAAATTAGGGTCATTATTGTCCTTATAAACAATGTTATATTGCCAGGTCTGCCAAATGCTAAAAAAAACTCTTACCAAATAATTAATAGCAAAATTGTTTAACTAACTATTTTATCTACAATTAAAAAGTGGCTTTATAGTTACTTACAAACTACCTTCTCAGGGGAGATGTGAATCATGTGGATACTAAAAAATTCTGAAGACCTGTCAAGAAACATACGTCCATATCCTCGAATCATAGGTTAAAAAAAATAATTCTGTACTCATAAAACAAGTATTCTTCATTCTAAACTTAAAAGACAGATTGAAGTATAATTCTCTGTTTTGTTTTTTTTTTTATCTATATTTTTTTTAAATCTATGTATCGTTTCTACCGGTTACATTCTTGTCTATCCTTTTCCTGAAATCCTGTTTTCATTTCAAACTCTCAAGCTTATAGGGTTAGAGAATTTACATGTGTTGAATGTTTATATTTTATGAAATTGTTGATTCCGCATGGTTAAACAGGAAAAAGTCACCATTAATGCAGAGTCAGCTGATATGATTCATCAAAGTACTTCAACAAAAGTAACAAGACGGCGGGTCGTCTAGTGGAGCAGAAAATGTCGGTACCAAACTTTAGTGTTCTTTGTAGTGGATTGAGGACTGCTGTTTGTCTTTTCGTTCTTAACGCCATGGTGTTAACTGTTTTATTTGACCTAAAGTTCTTAAAGACATGGTGTTAACTGTTTTATTTGACCTAAAGTTCTTAACGCCATGGTGTTAACTGTTTTATTTGACCTAAAGTTCTTAACGCCATGGTGTTAACTGTTTTATTTGACCTAAAGTTCTTAAAGACATGGTGTTAACTGTTTTATTTGACCTAAAGTTCTTAACGCCATGGTGTTAATTGTTTTATTTGACCTAAAGTTCTTAACGCCGTGGTGTTAACTGTTTGCCATGGTGTTAACTGTTTTATTTGACCTAAAGTTCTTAACGACATGGTGTTAACTGTTTTATTTGACCTAAAGTTTTTTATTTATTGTTCCCTTTGTATCTTCTCAGCTGGAATGTTTGTTTTTCAAAATATTACAAAAGGTTTACAACTCCTGGAGATAATTGTAATTCCAATGTCAACTTCTAGGTAGAATATCTGAATGAGTAAGAAGCTTAAGACAGACATGAAATATGCTAGCCACGCCCTTCTACTTAGACCTTTATTATTTGACCTCTTCAAAAGAATATCAAACATTCGGGAGAACAAAAACATAGTTGCCTAAGTATAACGTTGTCTTTCATTCATGAAATTATTGTTCATTTAAAGTGGATGTATGAACAACAATATCAAGATTAATAATCTGAAACACAGTAGGACAATTTCTGCATGTTTTCTTAAAGGGGCATAAGCTGTCATATTCATGTTCACCGATTTGACTCTAATTCTCTGATTTGATTTATAACATACTAAAACGTATATCTAATTATAAAAAGTCTAAAATAAACAATTTACAATGCATGGACTCGATAATATGTATCAGCATTTCGTGTGTATTTTAGTCTAGACGCCGTCTATTTAACCGTCGAGGTGACCTCCGAAGACATCCGACGGTTATATAACCCGATATAAACACAAATATTGATATAAATAGATAGAGAACACGTGCAATTGGATTTTTCTAGGTCTGTTTTATTTCATGCTAAAAATATGTTAATCGTCGTTTTTACCTGTAGAATAATGAGTTTAGGTGGATCGAATCAGTCAAACAAATTATGGCAAATCGTTTACCTTTGTTTCACTTTCATTATTGAGACATTCTTTTCTGTTTAATAGCTGAAAACGCATAGTTTATGCGTAATTGATCTCTAGCCAAGGGGTTAAATTGAAGGTCAAATGAATACGGATTCAATGAGGTCGAATTATTCACTTGCAAGTGAATAATTCATCAGCGATGTTTCTTAGCTTATTTTGACAAATTTGAACGAAACTGGCTGTTAACAGCGAATAGTTATTTCACTATTTCTTTTTTATTAATGATTGAACAACAAAAAAATCATATTTTTTTTTTTCTATATCTCGTAGCTAATGCCCCTTTAAATGAAATGAAAGAGGTATAAATGCCGGAAGAAAATACGTAGATGAAGATCAAACACATTCAAAAATGTAAATACTGATACCTGACAGATTTACCTTTTGTATTGTTATCATAGCATGCCTGGTTGGAGGGAATAACATACACACTAAAATTTATCCAGCCTGCAAAATGTTCTCTCCAAGTATGCTAAAAAAAATGAAAATAACTCTTAAAAATGTTCATGCGTCTTAAGCACTTTTCTAGATTCACCTTCACCAGGAACGCTCAAAGCAGAACATTTGAAAGCTGATGATGTATAAGAACCAAAACAGTTGAAGAGCTATGTGATAAAAAAGACCTAAAATTATAGCCAAATACTAAGTTTTAGCAAAATTAAGTAAATTGTAAACGACAAGGTATCACGTTTAAAATATTAAATCATTATAAATCATAACGCATTGTTACTTATATACTTTTACGTAAACAGAAAGTGGTGAAACATAGAGCGGTCAAACAGAGAGTGGTCAAACAGAAAGTGGTGAAACATAGAGCGGTCAAACAGAGAGTGGTCAAACAGAAAGTGGTCAAACAGAGAGTGGTGAAACAGAAAGTGGTCAAACAGAGAGTAGTCAAACAGAGCGTGGTGAAACAAATAGTAGTGAAACAGAGAGTGGTGAAACAGAGAGTGGTGAAACAGAGAGTGGTGAAACAGAGAGGTGTTGAACAGCGAGTGGTGAAATAGAGAGTGGTGAAACAGAGAGTTGTGAAACAGAGAGTGGTGAAACAGAGAGTTGTGAAACAGAGAGTGGTAAAACGGTGTGATAAAACACGTTTAAAATATCAAATTATCATAAATAACGCATTGTTACTTAAATACTTAGAAGACTCAGAGAGTGGTAAAACAGAGAATGGTGAAACAGAGAGCGGTGAAACAGAGAGCGGTGAAACAGAGAGCGGTGAAACAGAGAGGGATGAAACAAAGAGGGTTGAAACATAGAGTGGTAAAACAGAGAGCGGTGTAACAGAGAGAAATGAATAAAAGAGTGGTGAAACAGAGAGAGTGGTGAAACATAGTATGGTGAAACAGAGAGCGGTGAAACAGAGAGTGGTGAAACAAAGAGTAATGAAACAGAGAGTGGAAAAACAAAGAGCGGTGAAACAGAGAGTGGTAAAACAGAGAGTGGTGAAATTGTGAAACGTAGAGCGGTGAAACAAAGAGAGGTGATACAGAGAGTGGTGAAACAGAAAAAGGTGAAACAAAAAGTGATGAAACAGAGAGTGGTGAAACATACAATGATGAAACATAGTGGTGAAACATAGATTGGTAAAACAGAGAGAGTTCAAATAGAGAGGTGAAACAAAGAACAGTGAAACAAAGAACAGTGAAACAGAGCGGCGAAACAGAGAGTGGTGAACGATGAGAGATACAACAGAACGTTGAAACAGAGAGTGGTGAAACATAGAGCGGCTAAACAGAGTGGTGAAAAAGAGAGCGGTGAAACAGAGCATTCAATTAGAGAATGGTGTAACAGAGAGTGGTGAAACAGAGAGTGGGGTAACAGAGAGTGGTGAAACAAAGAGTGATGAAACAGAGTGGCGAAACAGAGAGTGGTAAAACAGAGAGCGATGAAACAGAGAGTAGTGAAACAGAGAGTGGTGAAACAGAGACCGGTGAAACAGAGAGTGGTGAAACAAAGAGAGGTGAAACAGAGAGTTCGAGAAACAGAGAGTTGTGAAACAGAGACCGGTGAAACAGAGAGTGGTGAAACAGAGAGTGGTGAAACAGAGACCGGTGAAACAGAGAGTGGTGAAACAGAGACCGGTGAAACAGAGAGTGGTGAAACAGAGAGCGATGAAACAGAGAGTAGTGAAACAGAGAGTGGTGAAACAGAGACCGGTGAAACAGAGAGTAGTGAAACAGAAAGCGGTGAAACATAAAGCAGTGAAAAAGAGAGCGGTGAAACAGAGAGTGGTGAAACAGAGAGTGGTGAAACAGAGACCGGTGAAACAGAGAGTGGTGAAACAGAAAGCGGTGAAACATAAAGCAGTGAAAAAGAGAGCGGTGAAACAGAGAGTGGGGAAACAGAGAGTTGTGAAACAGAGAGTGGTGAAACAGAGTGTGGTGAAACAGAGAGCGGTGAAACAGAGGGCGTTGAAACAGAGAGTGGTGAAACAGAGAAAAGTGAAACAGAGAAAGATGAAACAGAGAGTGGTGAAACAGAGAATGATGAAACAGAGAGTGGTGAAACAGAGAGTGCTGAAACAGAGACCGGTGAAACAGAGAGTGGTGAAACAGAAAGCGGTGAAACATAAAGCAGTGAAAAAGAGAGCGGTGAAACAGAGAGTGGGGAAACAGTGAGTTGTGAAACAGAGAGTGGTGAAACAGAGTGTGGTGAAACAGAGAGCGGTGAAACAGAGGGCGTTGAAACAGAGAGTGGTGAAACAGAGAAAAGTGAAACAGAGAAAGATGAAACAGAGAGTGGTGAAACAGAGAATAGTGAAACAGAGAGTGGTGAAACAGAGAGTGGTGAAACAGAGAGTGGTGAAACAGAGAGTGGTGAAACAGAAAGCGTTGAAACAGAAAGTGGCGAAACAGAGAGTGGTGAAACAGAGAGTGGAGTAGCAGAGAGTGGAGAAACAGAGAGTGGTGAAACAGAGAGTGGCGAAACAGAGAGTGGTGAAACAGAGAGTGGAGTAGCAGAGAGTGGAGAAACAGAGTGTGGTCAAACAGAGTGGTCAAACAGAGAGCGGTCAAACAGAGAGTGGTGAAATGGTGAAACGCAGAGCGATGAAACAAAGAGAGGGGAAACAGAGAGTAGAGAAACAGAGAAGAAAGGTGAAACATAAAGTGGTGAAACATAAATTAGTAAAAAAAAGAGAGCGGTGAAATAGAGACAGGTGAAACAGAGAGTGGTGAAACATAAATTGGTAAAAAACAGAAAGCGATGAAATAGCGAGAGGTGAAACAGAGAGTGGTGAAACAGAGTGGTGAAACAAAGAGCAGTGAAACAGAGTGGTGAAACAGAGAGTGGTGAACATAGAGCGGTACAAGAGAACGATGAAACAGAGAGTGGTGAAAAAGAGAGTTGTGAAACATAGAGCGGTCAAACAGAGTGGTGAAACAGATATCGATGAAACAGACAGCGACGAAACAGAGAAAGGTGAAACATAGAGTGGTGAAACAGAGAGCGGTGTAATTTTTTTCATTTACGAAAAGTCTTAGTTTTTATTTACAATTACAACTGATTAAATCATTTTGTTTAACTTCATTGATACACACAACTTGCATATATACATGTAAATTAGCAGTATGTTCAACTTATGTAGCTTGAAATTAGATAAAACAGATATTTCAGAGTAGACATAGAATGATTGTGCTTGTTTATAGACTTTAGGACTATGATAGGACCAACCAAAGCAGGATTTTACGCCTTGAACAATAGATTAGGTGGTCTTATGACTATCCTCAATCATATTTACGTTTTATCAAATAGTATTGTTCTTATTCTAAATTGAAATACAATTCATCTTAATTACTTTAATATTTTATATACTTATTATGATTGATACAACAAAAAAAACACAATTGTTTATAGTATGATAGTAACGATAATGAAATACTAAGTAGGTGAGAAAATAAAAAAAAGATATATTCATCATGACAATGTTAGATTAGAGGAATTTTGTGTTTGTTTAGTTTAAACCTATTTTATTGTTAAACATGACAAATGATTGATTGATTGGTTGTTTGTTGCTTAACGTCCAAATGACAAATGGATCAGACATATATTGTAATAGAACTTTTATAATGTAATATGATATAACTCAGATATTTGAAGTCGTTTGTTGCAGTGTTATGAAAATGTGTTGAAAAAATATATCGAGGTTCTCAACATTTATAAAAATTAGAGGACATATTCTGCAAGTAGTATAGGGGCATATATGCAGCATTGTGATATTTGTATTTGCTCTTTTTGTGGCACCAAATGGCAACTACTCTTTATTACGTGTATATGATATTTCAGTATCTTGAACCGTTAGATGAATTCAGTTAGAAAGCTTTTACTCCTTATACATTAATTTTATGGAAATACATTTATGGTTGATTAATATTTGTTGTTTAACGCCACTTTCAGCAAACTTTGCTGTATAATGACAGACATTTTTTTAGTTAAGAAAGCCAGAGTACTCGAAGAGAATCCCGACCATTCACAGAAAAACTGACATTTCTAGTGAATTAAGATCGGTTCGACAGTGTTAAAAGGCAAGTGATCATTGTAGATAAATGATTTAAACTAATAGAAAAACAAAAGATCCATGACACAAAATCAGAACATGCACAGCAAACAAAAACACACAAAAAGCAAACAGCGCTTTTATTGCTTTTATTATTATTTCAAATACTCAACACTCGACCACTGAGGCTCCTGAATACATTTTATGTACAATAAGCATTCTACAGATGCATTCGAAAGACTTTTAGTCTGATTTCATTACAGTATGTAATCAAATAGCACTTTTAAAGGTGTACTAACATTACAATGAATTTTAGAATTGATTCTAACATCAAACATCACTTAGGACTTGGGCAGTCCTCAAAAAATCTCAGTCCTAAGACACCTTCGACAACCAGGACATTTATTACTTATTGTATCATTTCGACATATTAAGAACACAATTTTTCGTTGATGATTAAGGTATACACAAAAATTGTAGAATGTTTTATACTATACATGTATTAATATATATTTATATGCTAAACTGAAATTTGTCTTTCTAAAGCTAAAGCCTCGAGGCCGATATGGGAGTCTCGGGATGATACCAGGGCCAATATGGAAAAGGGCATGTTATAATCTATACTTATCTCACAACGTCATTATATAGTGTATTAGTGCGTACTTATTTCACAGACATAAGACGTACGTGTAATATTCAGTAAAGGCAGAAACTCTTGAAGAAACTCTGTTCCTTAATTGAATATGTAAATAATTGTGTGTTTTCTCCTTATTTTTATTTTCCTACATTTTCTACTCTGAATATGAATAAGTTCAAAGAAGATATAAAGATGTCAAAATTTGCATTCTTTGTTTGGATTATAAAAGAAAAAACAGAATTATATGAACAAACCAATATTTGAAAAATAGAAATGAGAAAAATAATACAAGACGATCATTCATATTACTTTCAGAAAATTAATTGATAAAGTGACCAAATATGTTCAGCGTATTCGTTTTCTTTATAAATAATGAAATAGATACTCAATACAAACTAGTATTATAGAATTCAACAATCTCTCAAATCTTTAATTTTATTCAAAGTCTTTTTGTGTTTTTAACACAAGTCAGGAATATGACAGTTGTTTCCCACTCATTCCGTTGATAGATAACGTTTGATAGTTTTTCAGTTTTTATGGACTTCCCCTTTTTGAATTTACCTTGAAGTTTGGTATTTTTTATATTCTTTTTTTACAACAATTCGATAAAATACATTCGTCCATTGAAATGAAATTGATGGAAATTTTATAGCTCCTGTACTACCTATTACTACAAATTTCTAAACAAAAACATTTTCTCATTCAATGTGTTCCTGCTGATATTGATGATCGTCATTAATTGCTGCCCACATTTTAAGTTTAAATGCTAAAAATTAGTAGAAGGGAAAACTTGATGATATAACTCCATAATAAATTCACGTATCATAATTTTGCAGAGAGAAAGTTGAAAATATGTAAAACAAGTACTACATATTTAAAAAAAAGTTGCACACAATTTGACGTCTAAAGGATGACGATTCTGAAAGTAGAGCCTCTTCGCTTTTCTCTAAAGAATTGAAATATATACTGCAAGGTACTTAATTAAATGAATATGGAGATAAAGAAGAACCTGTAGCTGTGAAATAGACATAAACGTAAGATATTAGTACGTTACAATCTGTAATGAATAACAAATTTGAAACATTTTAGAACCATGAAGAAATGTCAATAATTATAACTATATGTCAAGTACTACTATAACAATTAGAGATACAACCAAATTCGATGTGTATATCGTGGACGTACGGACGCCAAAGGGATATAATCTATATAATAAAACTTTGGACAAATTAAATTTGCGATATATGTATTTTGAAATTCTTAATTTGATGTATTATATGTTGTACTCTTTGAAATTATTATTACGCTTGGAAGATTTAGACTAAAGGCGATAAGATATATTTGTTGCACTCGAGCTGTTATAGCCTAATCATTGACCTGGTATGTCTAATGAACCTGTCAGTGATATTTACCTACTCATGTATTAAAGGGTAAGCCTTAAAATGCAAACAATTTGACAGGGGTGATAATGACACCTTCTTTACTTGAATGTATTTCTAATTACCTGGATAATTTAATTTTTAAGTTTGATTTTATGTCCGTAATGTTTTCAATTTATTGTAGCATATATCTTTTATTGTTGGTTTTTGTTCAATTCCGTAATTTCGTCAAATCAGAGTAAAGATTTGTGACATCATGCGTGCCATTACCATAGTTAAGCGTCTTTTAAAAATAGGTCACAAACCGAAATTATTACTGAAAAAAAGTAAAATAACAAAAATACCAAACTCCAAGGAAGAATGAGATCGGAAAGACCCTTATCAAATGGCAAAACCAAAAGCCCAAGCACATCAAACGAATGGAAAACAACTGTCATATTCCTGACTTGGTACAGGCATTTCCTTATGTAGAAAATGGTGGATTAAAACTGGTTTTATAGCTAGCTAAACCTGCGTCAGTAAAAAAAACATTATATAAACACTCAATTAATCATTCTTCAAAATATGATTTTACTGATGAACATTTGTCAAGTTTAACTTAATATTAAAAGAAATGTTCAAAATATTTCGGGTTTTTGTTCAACAAGAAATTCCCATAATAATGCACACAGTGGATGTTGACAGAAATGGTAAAGCCCTTTGCATCATACACTAATTCTCGTAAAAATTAAAGAAATAGGCAAAGCAAATAGGTATAGTGTGGCTAAATATAAGTGTTTTAAAACTCTACTCCGACGAAATAAAAAAGCCGACCAAAGTTACATTATTTGAGGCAAAGATATACGGCTAAATCATATTCCTTAAGTTTTGCTTAACATCACAGAAGGAGACTACAATAATGAAATGAAAAGATCTTTAAAAGTATAATGATCACCAGACTGTTTACAACGGGTCATGGTTTTGCATGTTACACAGACTGATTATTATGTGTCATGGTTTAGCATGTTACAGACAGATTACACACAGCAATTGATTCAATTGTATAAAGTGCATCCTAACACAATTGGTCATGTAATAATCTAATAAAAGTGGTCGACTTCCTTGATGTTCAGTAGACATAATGATAATAACATGAATAATACATATAAAGAGCTTTTTAAGTGTTTTTCCTTGTATTAATTCCCAATAAAAATAAACATTTGAAATAGAAATAGCTGTAGACACAACAAAGTAAAAATTAATGATTGCGAAGTTTCTGAATTATATGTGTGTGTATATACAGTCACCTATTTTCAAGAAAAGGAATGGAATAGAAGTTTTCGGCTTAAAGTGTTGGGCTTACAAAACATCCATGTAAACGAATCTTACACAATGTTTTAGGAATCATTGCTATATATTCCACCAGACAATTTCTACCGTCACTCTTTTTTTTATATAAATATGTATGTTTTCGTTATGTTCTTTTACTTAGTACATGAAGTCTACAGTATGCCTATGCTGAGCTGAAAAGAATGAGT